TCTATCTATCTATCTATCTATCTATCTGTCTGTCTGTCTGTCTGTCTGTCTGTCTGTCTGTCTGTCTGTCTGTCTGTCTGTCTGTCTGTCGATTGATCTATCGGTCGATTTATCCGCTTGCCTAGCCACCTGCGTTTCCTAATTTCTCTTCACTTGTCTACATAGCAGTATGTATTTAAGTAGATATATTTTTTTCACATTTATTATCTGTGTTGTGTTTGTAACTCTTTTTCCTGTGCCAGTTTCCCTCCTTCTACGTACAATATTAATCTAACTTTAAGGCGGTGTCATCCTCAATCACAGTGACCCCCCCCCCCTTTTTCTCAATTTCTTTTCATCTTTTGCCTTGATCACAGAACTATGGCAAGAGGACCCAAGATCATATGACGCTATGGAACATCAGGTGTTGGCTTTAGCTTTCTCCGTCAGCTTCTGTCTTGTTCTTTATGGGAGTAGAGGTAAGACGCACGTGTTCTTTTTTATGTTTAATCTTTGAGAACGTTGCGGACACAATCATAATATATGTCCGATCTTCAGCATACTAAAGGTTATGTTGCGGCACATTTCGGACCATCATTCACAAATCAGAAACATGAATTTGCATAATTTTGTAGTATGCATAGAGCCTGCTGGCCTTTTAAAGTTTCTGATAACTGAAGCAGAGTTGAAAAATCTGTATGAATAACTAAGATAAAAATTTCTATTACGTTTCTTTAGTTTCGCTTCATTAACAGCACGTCTTCAAGCGTTTCCAAATAACCGGAATGCGGGTGCTAAGAGAGTTCATACATGTAGTAGTTTCGCACCGATGTGTCACAGAGTGCAATTCTGTTTAGAAGTCAGGGTTGGTGATTTAAAAAAAATTTTAAAATAAAAATTCACAAACCAGCGGAAAAATGCAAGTTTCTTCACTTTGATTATTTTGACGAGAGCCTGATTCCACCGCGCTGCCTCAGATATATTAAAATACCTTTCCAGTGGCTCCCATCTCCTCCTCTATAAGTCTTTCTCCTGCAACAGTTGACGGTGACGTTGCCTTGGTGACGTTGAGAGAAGCCTCCAGTTCGGCCATCCGGCTGCTTGGTCCGTCTATCATGCTGTTCTGCCTACTCAACCCACCATGGCGCACTGAGGACTGGCGGCGACGAGACTTGGGACCCACGGACGAACGACGTCTTCGCATAGATCCGGAGCGACCGTCGAAACTTCTGGAAATGTATTGTATGGGGTGTGAGTGCGGGGTGGGGGGTTGGG